AATTTATCCCATCAATCTGACCAATCCAAGCGTGTGACTGTGCCCTCTGTTGTGCTTGGGGGGAATTTTTGGTTTTTTGGGTTTTTTTTGCTTCTGCAGAATCCTGTCAGGAATATTCCTGCCTTCATGACCTCAGGTTTAATTTGGGAAGATTGGAGGGATAACATGAACACAGAAAGATCAGGAGAGCAAAACCTGACATTTAGGTTAAAATACTATAAGTTAAGATAGGATCACTGGAGCAATGTCCACATTCCCATGGCATTTGTTTTAGAGATAAATACCATGGGAAGGTCAGAGTGTCTCAAATCAATTTGGGAATTGAGACAGAAAGGGAGGATATCAGGTCCAGAAATGGATATTTTACACTCTGAAGATAAACTGCTGATAAATACATCTAATTAAGACAAAAAATATTCTTTTCCTGAAAAAAAAAATTACCATTGCCTGCACAAGCCGCTCAGGTAGTTACTAGGAAAGCAAAAACTTGATAAATTGATGGATTATTGCTCCAAACTGTGTCCAGATCCATCTTTTTTTGAGCAAGCAGAGGAAGCCAAGGTAGTTTTTATGTGCTGGTGAAAGGATTAAAAGAGCTGCGACGAGGATCATGGAGGTCCAGACTGGTTTGAGTTGGAAGGACCTTAAAGCCCATCCAGTGCCACCTCTGCCATGGTCAGGGACACCTTCCACTATCCCAGGCTGCTCCAAGCCCCAAAATCCAACCTGGCCTTGGGCACTTCCAGGGATCCAGGGGCAGCCACAGCAGCTCTGGCCCTCTCACCACCCTAAGAATAAAGATACCTGCAATGTTAATCAAGTTGAGGTAAGCAATGTAATTAAAAAGCACCAAAACTTAATTTCTGAGGGGTTTTTATGGACCTCCATAAATGAAAATATAAATACATTTTTTATTATAATATTCTATATAAATAGATACATAACATAAAGGCCACAAAGTAGAGGCAATTGAAGTGGCTCATATAGAGTCCATTCACATCCCACTATTAAGCTTCAGCTCTAAACCAATTTTCCAAATTATTATTGGGTTTGCTGGCTTGAAATTTAATTTTTTATTAAATCTCACATTCGTGCTTTAGGAGATAGAAAAGTTTCATGGTGAATTTAAAGCATATTGGCTATGAGGCAAATTGAAAAAGGGCTGGGAGTGATGTGTTTAGCACAGAGGAGAAGAAGAAGAGGCAAAAAAGTAGAGAGGAAAAGTTAAAATTTCACTTGGACACTTCCAGTAGTTGTGCCCTGCATTGTATCTGAGACGTGCTCAGTCTCCCTTTCCAGTTCTGATCAAGACACAGATAATTAAGATATGGTAAATTCAGAGGGGTTTTTGTTTTTTTAAAATTTGCATGTATTTTCAGTATTTTTGTGCACAAATAATGTATTTATTTTAATCCTGTTCTTTGTGGCTGCTTTGTTTATTTTCTGAGGGATAAACCCTTTTTGTGGTTTCATACCCAAAGAAATCAGTGAGGGTCTGGGACCCGTCCTGGTTTCCATCCCATTCTGAATGCTCCCAAGATACCATTTATTATTTCTGTGGAAAAGTTAGAGTGAATCAAAGGGCCTAAATACCATATTGCTGTGATGGTCATGTTAAAAAATACCATGGAAATGGATGAAACTGGGGTCTGGAATAGATTAAAGTTGTCATGGCCAAAGGGTGGTTGTGTGGAGAAGGGAAGATTAAAACTCTGGATAAGGCTGAGGTGGGATGGGAATTAAAGTGGGTGTTAATTGTGGTTTATCCCCCAGATTTTTGGGATGCAGGTGGACTATCATTTATTGCAAGGGACCTTCTTACATCCAGGGATGGGATTGATGTAGATTCTGAGCATGTGGGTCTTGGGAAGAAATCAGAAATCACAGATTTAAGCAGGTAGTGAGTTCATAAACTCAGAAAGGAATCGTTAAAAATGTTTCAAATATTTCAAAGCAATTCTAGGGAAGGGAACGGAGCTGGGGAAGGGGCTGGAGCCCCAGGAGGGGCTGAGGGAGCTGGGAAAGGGGCTCAGCCTGGAGCAAAGGAGGCTCAGGGGAACCTGGTTTGGAGTCCCCATGCCTGGAAGTGTTGATAAACTGTGTGGATGTGGCACTTGGGGACATTGTTAGTGGTGAGCAGGGTGGTGCTGGTTGATGGTTTGATTTGATGGTCGTGGTGGTCTTTTCCAACCTTAACCACTCTGATTCCATGGATCCAGCACTGGGCTGGGAGACAGAGACACACCAACCCCACCCCAGTGACAGTGATACACCAATCCTACCTGGGGACAGTGAGAAACCAATCCCTTCACCCTTCCTGCCCCACAGCGGTGTTAAGCTCACAGAAATTCCCTTCCCTTCCACTCCCATGGAGGTTTTCAAATCTTTTTCTTGGTGGCTTGGGCTGGATTCTTCTGCTTTCCTCTTCCCACAAAAATTCCAGCTTTTATCATCCGCTGATGCAAAATTATGGCACAAAAAACACCTTTGCCAGTGCCTTAAAACATCTTCAAATAATATGTTGGGAAAAAAGCACCATTTTCCATCTGAGCCATTCAAACATTGGAAAATAAGGAATTTATTCCCTTAGAAAGGTTATTAGAGCTGGAAGCACAGGATAAAGAGCAGGATATAGGAAGTTGGATGCTCATCTTTTGCTGCTTTGCTTCTCCACTATCCAGAGGAATGCTCTGAAGGGATGAGCTGGGTGTTTCACTCCAGCTGATGCATTACTCCTGTTGTTCCCAATCCCTGGAATAAAAGGAAGGGAATAAAATCAGTGCAATTATCATGGTGGAGGGGTGGGAGGAATGCTGTTCTACTCCCTCCCTCCAGAGCAAACACAAAACCTCTCACTAATTATTATTGATTTGTCAATCCATTAGATTCACCACTGGCAGAGGGTGCTATAAGGCCATTACCACTGCAGAAATATCCTGGAATTGTGCTGGGAATTAAATGTAGGGCTTCTGTTCCAATCCCACCCCTTTAGAAGACAAAACAACATCATCTATAGTGCCGCATAAAAAGGGCATTTTCCTCTCTGACCTCATCAAAAGAACTCCAGCTTTAAATGCTTCCAGCTTTGGCAACTTTTTTCCCCTGTCTTTCCCTGCCTTTCAGCAGCTTTTTAATCCCTAAGATTAGCATTTGCATTGGTAAAATGCACATTAAAAGGCTTTTCATAGCAATGGTTTTAGAGCTTAATAAATAAGGAGCAACAAGGAATTTTATTCCAACCTCTGATGCAGAATGGTGGGAGCAGAGGGATCTGCTCTGTGTATGTGTGTTTGAGTAAAAGGGGATTTTTCCATCAGTGAATAAAAGAGGAGATCACTGTTATATTGCATGATCCAAAACTTCATTCCATGTATCCATTATATCTAAATTTTTCTGGGAAGTTCAAAGCAATATTGATTCCAAAGGAAATGCTTCTAAGTCAGAGCTCAAGGGAAGATTGGCCACTTCTTGATGGGAAAAGTTTGGGTTCAATAGTTGGGATTGTGCCCCAGGGGTCCAACTTTTGTATAATCATGGACTATCCTGAGTTGTAAGGCTCCTGGCCCTGCACAGACACCCCAGCAATCCCAGCCTGTCCCTGAGAGTGTTGTCCCAGCACTCCTGGAGCTCTGGCAGCCTCAGGGCCATGCCCATTCCCTGCCCTTAGAATGAGAAAATGTGGTGTGGGGTGGAGGATTTGAAAACCACCTGGAAGATGAAAGGGGAAAGTGATAAAATATTCATGGAATCACAGAATAATTTAGGCCTGAAAAGACCCCTGGGATCATCAAATCAAACAAATCAACCAGTGCCACCACTAGACCATGTCACCAGGTGCCATTTGGTCTTCCACATACCTCCATGCTATTCTCTGGAGAGAAGCAGCTGCAGATTCTATCCAGAATTTTGAAGATAAGTGCACAGCTGATCTTCCAGCTCAGGAGACTCTCTGAGCAGAACCTCATCTGATGTTTATTTTGTTATCTATCAAATGAGTGTAATTTTCAAAAATTGAAAATATCTGCATAATACATTAAAAAAAAATCTACATTCGTGGATAAGTGTCAAAAATTCCTTTTAAATTTATTTTAAAGAGTTTGAAGCATGAATTCAACCATTTCTTGCCGTGAGGAAAATCTGAGGAGGAGGATTTGAGATGAGCTGAAGCCTCTCACTTCTTGTTGAAATTGTTTGGATTGCTGATTTAAAGGCATCAGCACAGAGCCATGGAATGGTTTGGGTTCAAAGGGCCTCAAAGCCCATCCAGTGCCACCCCCTGCCATGGGCAGGGACACCTTCCACTGTCCCAGGCTGCTCCAAACCCCAAAGTCCAACCTGGCCTTGGGCACTTCCAGGGATCCAGGGGCAGCCACAGCTGCTCTGGGCACCCTGTGCCAGGGCCTGCCCACCCTTACAGTGGGTAGTCTTGGGTTGCAGTTCATTTCCTGAAAAGCAGCTTGGGTTTTAGTTACAAAATGTATTGGCAGGGAAATTTTTGGAGCTTTGTGAAGAATGGAAATTCCCATGGAGGTGGCCCCAAAGTGATTCCTGTTTAAGGCATGGAATTTTACCCATTAATGAATTTTCCTGTGTGATTTTTTGACAGATTACTGAGTTTTCTTAGTAGACTTGAATATATTCAAGGTCTATTATAAAAGAGATCTATAGATCTATATAAAATACAGGTAGAAAAGATTTATTTTGTCTTTTACTTCCATTTATCAGGCCATGGTGGTTCTTGTTCCTCCTCATTATTCCCTGCTTTCCCACTTCTCAGATCCAAGCATCATTAGATCTTTACATTGCCACCTCCTGTCTATTGGACTTTTCAGTGGGTTTTACATTTTCAAAGGACAAACATTTTCCTTTTTTAATATGATTTTCCCTAATAACAGATCCTGTGGCGGCCTAATAGATGGAGGAAATAGTAGCCTGAGGAGTAAGCTTCAACAATGCACTGTTCAGGAATGTAACACAAATCTTTCTGTTCCACCCTGCAGACCTCCCCCAGTGAGTGAAAGTGCCCCGAAGGGAACCGTGGTCACCGTTGTCACCGCAGCCGCCCTGAACCAGACAGTCGTGTACTCCATTGTGTCAGGGAATGAAGAGGGTAAGTGTAAGAATAAGAATATTAATATTAATATTTCAGTCTTGTGGTCATGGTGGGCACACCAAGATCTGCAAGAAAGTGTGGAGAAGTAGAGCTGCTGAGGTGAATCACAGAATCGTTAAGGCTGGAAACGAACTCTCAAATCATCAAGGTGAAATCCCACCCCATCTGGACAAGCTCGAGGGAATTCCAGGGCTGGAAAGGACTTGAAGAAACCTGGAGAGGGACTTTTGTTAAGAACAGGATAAGGGGGAATGGCATCAAGCTGGAACAGAGAAGTTTAGATGGGATATTGGGCAGGAATTGTTCCCTGGGAGGGTGGGCAGGCCCTGGCACAGGGTGCCCAGAGCAGCTGTGGCTGCCCCTGGATCCCTGGAAGTGTCCAGGGCCAGGTTGGACTTTGGGGCTTGGAGCAGCCTGGGATGGTGGAAGGTGTCCCTGCCCATGGCTGATCCATCCCTGGATGGGCTTTAAGGTCCTTTCCCACACAAACCATTCTGGGATTCTGTAACTATCATTATCAGGTCTTTGGAGATAAGCCAGAGATCAGATTTATTAGCAAAATTACAAGAAAATAATTCTCACTGATGTGAAAATTCCCATGGGTGCCACACTCATGTGAGTCCATGGCATGTTGAAATAAAAGCATAAATAGCTTTGATGAAGTACTTGCTTAAAAATCTGGTTTAAGGGATTATAGACTCAGCCATGCTGTAACAGTTATCGGATTAGAGCCTGATATCCAAAAAAAACATCCTGCTGGGATGCTTTATGTGATCCACCTGGAAGTCTTGACAAAATAACAGAGAATCAGAGGGAGGGATGTAAATTCCCTATCCCATCCTCCTTTTTCTGAGAGTGGGCTCTTTGTCATGTCCCATCTTTCCATTTGTACTCAAGTCCTGTGCAGGGAGTTGCACTCTCTGATCCTTTGGGTGCCTTCTAGGTCAGGATATTCCATGATTCTGTGATGCTGTGTTGGTTATCCCAGTAGCAGGGCAGATCCAGCTGCTCTGCTCCCTAAAAATATCTTCAAAGATGAGCTGTGTGGGGTTTTCCAAGCGGGAGGGAGGGAGGGAATGACTTGCTTGGCAGCGTCAGAGAATTGTGTCATCCACAAAATAAAACCCTTGGGCACTGAAAATTCCTGTTTATGCATCTCATAAGATTCCTGTGTTTTTTCTGGCTTCCAGATGTGTTTGCCATTAACAACAGAACAGGAGTGATCTCTGTGAAAAAGCCTCTGGACTATGAAAGTGTCCAAAGTTACGAGCTCCGAGTGCAGGCAGACTCACTGCAGGTGGTGAGATCCAACCTGCGGGTGCCCTCCAAAAGTAAGTGTCAAAATCCTTCTTTTTCCATCTTTTTTAAACAGACATTGCTGGTATTTGCTGAGAGTGCTGTAACTGCTCCCCAGTGACCTTGCTGTGTTTCAGGGGGGTGATGGTGATGAAGGAATCACAGCCCACACTGCATTTTAGGATCTCTTGGCCTGACTTGCCCAGAGCAGCTGTGGCTGCCCCTGGATCCCAGGAAGTGTCCAAAGCCAGGCTGGACAGGGCTTGGAGCTGCTTGGGATAGTGGGAGCTGTCCCTGTCCATGGCAGGGTGTGGCTCTGGATAGGCTTTGAGATTCCTTGGAACCCAAACCACTCTGGGATTCTGGGATTCCATGTTAGCTGAAGGTGCTCAAATGTTTGGGAACATGCCATAAATCTTGGGAATGGCCTGAGACACTGTACAGGGGATGGCAGTTCCAATACCTTCATCAGGATTTCTTTCCAATGCTTCCCACAGAACAAGCAGGAGATTTTGGGATTTTGAGCCTGGATTATCATGAATATTTCTTTTTCCTTGAGTAAGAATTTGAGGGTGTGGGGTGTGACATGTCAGGGTTAATCAGTGGTCAGGAGCTTGGTTTTGTTAAGAGCAGGTTGAGACCCTGTGCTGGTTTAGCCACTATCAAGGATATACCTGCTAGGGGACAGAAAAGCAGAGCTGCCTGCTTCTCCCAGTGCCTGGGAGAAATCCAGGTAAGGTTATATCCATAAAACCACAGCCAAGCAATACCCAGGGAGCAGATCAGGCTTCCATGCAGCACACAGCTTTTTCCAAAGCTTTCTGACATGGCTGAAGACACGAGGCAGTCAGCAGGTCCTTCCCTCCATTCCCTCTTCTGACTCACACTCTACGCTAGAGCAGCTCTCTCAACTGAGAAGCAGCTCCAAAAAAAGTGATGGCTGAATTACTTTATTCAGGAATGCTTGATAATGACTGGAGTTTGACTTCAGGCCATCTTAAAGAAACACAAGCTGGGTGTTTTTGATTCTCCAGGAGTATACAACATATATATTCTTTAGAATGTGCACTGTGCTGCAGGGATGGCTAAAGAATTTGATCAATGTATATATTTAAAATACTTTAGAAGTATTTTAGTATTTAAAATACTTTAGAAGTATTTTAGTATTTTAGAATAATTCAGGCCAGCTGAATTACTTATGACTCTGTAATACACAATGAATGCCTTTCCATTTTCTTAGCACTTTGTTTATTTTTGAGGAATTTTAATCAGGTTAAACACTACTTCTGAGTTTCAGGGTACTGAATTGATGAGCTGCAGTGGGAGGAGATGGGGCACAATTAACACATCACTGTGGGCTTTGCTGAGGTTGAACTGATGAACCATTTTGGAGCTGGGTGACTCAGAATGCCCAGCCCCAGGATTGTGCAACACTGAATTAATACAGAGGTGGGACACCCAGTGGCAGTGACCTGCTGCCAGGTCTGGTCTTGGATACTTCTGAATCAGTGGAATTTGTTCTGGAATTTGTCGGTGACCTACTCTGGAGCTGCAGGGATTTCTGAGCCACTGACTTCAAGATACAAGGAAGGGAGCTGGGAAGGGGCTGGAGCCCCAGGAGGGGCTGAGGGAGCTGGGAAAGGGGCTCAGCCTGGAGCAAAGGAGGCTCAGGGGAACCTTCTGGCTCTGCACAACTCCCTGACAGGAGGGGACAGCCAGGGGGGCTCGGGCTGTGCTGCCAGGGAACAGGGACAGGACAAGGGGAAACGGCCTCAAGCTGTGCCAGGGGAGGCTCAGCTTGGACAGCAGGAGGAATTTCTCCATGGCAAGGGAGCTCAGGCCTTGGCAGGGGCTGCCCAGGGAGCTTTGGAGTCCCCATGCCTGGAGGTGTCCAGGGAAGGGCTGGACGTGGCACTCAGTGCTCTGGGCTGGGGACAAGGTGGGGATGAGGCACAGCTTGGACTCCATGGGCTGGGAGGGATTTTCCAGCCTCAGTGACTCTGGGATTCTGTAAATAACACATCCCTGACAAACTGCTCAGCCACTACACAAGGCTGAATGTCACAAAGCTCTGAAGCTGGGTACCAAATTGTTTTCAGTGATGGTATAGGAAATAATTTTAGAGAAGAAGGAGCTGGAGTTTTCATCTCTGCAGGTGGAAAGTGAAAGTGCATTAAGTGTAACTGAGCTTGTCATTCAGTGATGGTGCCAGGTGATAGCATGGCAATAATTGAATAAATATATGAGGAGAGAAAGTAAATTGAGATGTCCTTTGGAGTATGAGAACATCAAATTGGTGACTTAAACTGGGGTTTTCATAGATGATGCTAAATCATGCAAAGTCACACTCTTGCCTTCAGCAGAGTCAAACTCATTAAAGGAGTTACTTTAACTGAAACTTTATGATATGAAATTGCTGTGGTTTTACTTCATTTGAATGGAAGATGAGCTGGGTTTGGTGATGAGGATGAGTTAAAAAGCTTGGAGTTCTCTCTGGGGATTCTGATGATGCTAAGGACCTTCAGTATTAGTGGAGTTTGGACAAAGCTCTCAGGCACAGGGTGGGATTCTTGGGGCTATACTGCGCAGAGCCAGGAGTTGCACTTGCTACTCCTTGAGGTAAGAAGGTAAGGGGCAGGAGGAAGCAGAAAGGTATGTGTGGAAGCAGAGGAAGCAGCAATGAGAAAGTGCTGCCTAAACACAGGGACAAAGAGCATTGGAGCAGGATGGACAAAGAGGGACAAAGAGAGCTTTTACCTCTGAATTCAGCCTGGTCCCAGTTGTAGAACCAAAGCATTGGTGGGTATGAGCAGAGCAGCCGTGGCTGCCCCTGGATCTCTGGCAGTGCCCAAGGCCAGGTTGGACTTTGGGGCTTGGGGCAGCCTGGGATAGTGGAAGGTGTCCCTGCCCATGGCAGGGGATGGCAGTGGATGGGCTTTAAGGTCCCTTCCAACTCAAATCATCCTGGAATTCTATGATTTCACATTCCTAGAGATGTAAAGATAATAACAGAACCTATGGTGGATTTTCCTGTATTTAAGAGGAATTAGGTGACAAAGCAGAGATTGGTCACAGGTCATACTCCATGATCTTGGAGGTCTTTTCCAGCCTAGATGATTCTCTGACAGAACCCTGTTAGATATGTTTTTTATCTTACTGTCTGAATATTTGAAAACAAAGTCACACTTCCATTGATTATTTCCATGTTTTATCCAGTCAGGTAGAACTGTTTGGCACCTTTGGCACCCCCAGGGCTGGTACAACGGCCCTGTCCTGGCTCTGCTGTACTCCCAGCTGTGAGCAGGGCTTTGCTTTGGGGATTGGGGGTAAGGCAACAGGCCTGTCTCCTTCAGTTTTTGGTTTTCCAAACACAAAAAACCCCTTGGGAATAAAGTGGAAATGAGAGTTTTACAACTTAAATTCTGCAGCTGCTCCATAGTAATTGGGAATGATGATTCTACTATGTTAAATATGAGCATGAATTCTGTGTCCCTGTGGTGTTGATGTAACAGTAAAGCAGCCGTATGTTTTTAGTTGCAAAAAAAAGTTGGTGCTGGTGGTGCTTTACAAGTTGGCTGCTCTGGCAGTTCCCAAATCCAAGATGTGACAGATGGGCTCAATGCAAGCAGAGCCTGGAGAGCTCATCCTGCTGCCTCACAGCTCTGGGGAAGCTTGGGACAAACTTCCAATTTCTTTGGGCAGCAAAGCAGTGCATTTTAGAGAGGCTGCATAAAACCTGAGCTCCCGCTCAGGTTGTTATTTGTTAGAAAAAGAGGTTTTATATGGATTTAAATCAGACCTTGTGTCTGTGCTACTCCAAACATGTGGCTGTTCACTTCTTTTTGCACTCTCTCGAGCAGTGACAGCACATGATGATCTTCAGGCTTTATGTGCTCATTTAGATCTAAATGCTACTGAAAAATATTCAGTGCTGATTCCTACTTGGTTCTGCCAAATCCAGGAATGTGAGATGGAGCCCAGCTGCAGTTCAGCACAGCTCACCTGCCAAAGCACAAAGCCTGCTCCACGCACTTGTAAGGCAGGAGTAAAGCAAAGTGCTCCTAAACCCTGGCAAATTACAATTCTCCCTCCCAGTTGGATTCAGATGAACTTTGGAAAGGTTCTTTGAAATCTGCTGTTGCCTCCTGCAGAATTGCTTTTGGAGATGCAGGGATTTATGTTAGAATTATCCATGCATGAAGAGCAGCTGGATCCATGGCTGGGTTTGAATGTTGCAGAAGGCAAGTGCAGTGCTGCTGGTGAAAGCGCTGAGTAAAACTCACCTGGGAACACTCAAAGCATCGTTGATGCTGTCCCAGTGTCCAAAAATCATTACTTTAGTTCAGCTTCATTTCTGCAGCCTGTCAAGGAACTACAGGCTCATGTGGATCTGACACATTTTCAGATGGGGAGACTGGAAAAGAGGATGTTCCAACGAGGACGTTTGGGAAAAACTCCTGGAATTTAAGTGCTAGTACACACCAGTGACCCAGGAGTTTTTGTTGGGCTTGTTTTCTGTGTTATTTATTCATGGTCTACTCATTATAGATGTTTCAGAGGTTCCTCAGCTTTGCTTTAGAGCAGCTTTCAGGTTATTTTCACTCCCCTTAAGCAAACCACAGAAGCTGAAAGAACCAAAAGTCTTGGCAGTGATTATTTAGCTGGTTCCTATAAGTTGAGGATGTCTTAGAAGCAGCTGCAGTTCTGTATTTTCTGTGCTCTGCTGCTCATCTCCAGGGGGCTGGGGAAGAGGAGGAAAAAAGAACCTTGCAGGAGACCAAGGTACCACTAAAATCAATTTCCTTGGCTCTTTTTGGTAATGTTTGGCAGCCTGTGCTGCTTTGTCCAGGGAAAGATACTTTTTGTTCATTCACCTGGACAGCTCTTTAGGCAGCACAGTTATAAGATCTTATATTTGGATTCTGGGAGATCTCACAAGAATTACCACCAAGGAGTAAATCCTGATTTCAACACCTGGAATCCATGAAGAAAAAAAGTAACTGGAGCTGGATTCAAGACTTAGAACACCAAAGATGGGAGGTTTTACGTGCATGGGGGTGTACATTTCCCCTCTGGAAGGTGAGTGTGAATACTGACAGTCTGTGATGATCACTGTTCTCACAAAGAGGGTTCAAGCCACACCCAGTGTTTAGAAAAGCAGGTAAAAATCTGGAATATGAAGGAAAAAGGAGTCTAATGATAGAGTCTAAATCAGACTGTCTAAGAGTGCACTTCATTGATGGCCTGTTCCATCAGGCTGGGGGCTAGGGTGGAGGAGTGGTAGGTTGAGAGCACCAGAGCCCCTGTGCAGGGAATATTCCTGAATCAAGCAGAGGGACTGGGAAAAATCCCTACGGGAAAGGGTCTGGCATGATCTTCCCAAATGTCACAGCTGCTGCTGACATATTTTAGTGAGAATTCCACTGTGAGGGTAAGGCAACTTCTGTAGCTGCTGGAGAGCCCTTTCCAGGTTTGGAATTGGATCCAAAGGTGGGATAGGGAGGAGCTCACAGATGTCACATTCCACTCCATCTGCTAGAAAGGACTGTGTTTAGAAATCAAGCAGGAAGCTGAAATACAGGTAGATATTCAATGGTGATGGTCCTAATGTTGGCCTGTGGATATGCAGGGTATTTAATTTGCTTTGCACTTAATGTAATAACTCCCATTTCTCCATTCTCAGAGCATTCACCCTTTGCTAAACAAATCAGCATTTTGGCAGCTTACAGAACTGCCAGCAAATTAAACAAATGGGGAGTTGAACAAATGGCAAGGCAAACTCTGAACAAGACTCGGCCACCTCACCCAGTCTGGCCTGACATGACAAAAATGAGCAATATGCAAATGATGTTTAATTTGAATTAGAGAGAACCAGTGCAGGTGAGCCAACACCTGATCCCACCTGCAGGGATAAAATTAGGATCTTCCCTTCAGCACCAAACTGGTGGCAGCCAGTGATAGGACTGCTTATAGGCTCAGCAGGGCAAGGTCACTTCCACATTGCTTTTAATGACACCTTCTTCCCTAAAGGGTGGAGCTGCAGTGGGAAAGTCTGCCTGGGAATCTCATTTTCCTACTGTAGTTCAGTAGTGCAGCCAGAGGTATTAAGGATCTGGTTGAAGAAGACAGAGTTTTGACAACTAATGCAATTTCCTTTATTTTCTTTCATTTCTTTTTTTCTCCCTTCTCTCCACACTGAAGAACCTCACACAACGGTTCAGGCTGAAGGGAGCTCAGAGGGCAGCTGGTGGCACCTCCCTGCTCCAGCAGGGCCATCCCAGAGCACAGGACACAGCATTGTGTGCACACAGCTGTGCCACAGCCCCAGGCAGGAGAGCCCACAGCCTCTGTGGCCAATGTGTTCAGGGCTGGGCAGTGGCCAGGGAAGAAGTTGTGCCTCCTGGCCAGGGGGAATTGCTGCCATCAGGCCCTGCCCGTGGCTCTGGTGCCATTGCTGGGCCCCCGGAGCAGAGGCTGGGCCCTGCTGGGAGCCCTCCCTGCAGCCAGGGCCAGCCAGGCCTGAGGGCCCCTCTCAGCTGGGGCTCCTCTCCAGGCTGAGCAGCCCCAGCTCCCTCAGCCTTTCCTGGGCACCCAGATGCTCCAGGCCCTTCCTCAGCTGCGCAGCCTCCGCTGGCCCCGCTCCAGGAGCTCCCTGGCCCTGCTGTGCTGAGGAGCCAGAGCTGGACACAGCACTCCAGAGCTGCCTCCAGGGCTGCCCACAGGGCCAGGATCCCTCCCTGCCCTGCTGCCAATGCTCCTCCTGCTGCCCCCAGGATGCCATTGGCCTCCTTGGCCCCAGGACACTCTGCTGCCTCAGGGACAGCTCCGTGTCCCCCAGCACCCCCAGGACACTCTGCTGCCTCAGGGACAGCTCCGTGTCCCCCAGCACCCCCAGGACACTCTGCTGCCTCAGGGACAGCATTTTAAATATTTGGTTTTTTCTTTTATTTTTAGATTTCAGTTCCATTTATGAAGCCATAATTTGTTTCCCATCAGCTGGACCATCAGATAGGAAGAATATGACTTTCACCATGTCAGAAATAGTCTGTGGTTTAATGTTTTCCTCCCCTAAATACACAGCTCCTAAGCCTTTCCTAAAGAGCCTGCATTGTACAAGTAACTCAGATTAGTGTCACCTGTGCAACACTGAAATTATCCTGGCACTGAAAGGAACTGAGCAGACCAGCTCAGAAAGCAGGCAATTTATCACTTGCAAATGTGGTTTTAATGAACTGGATATCATCATTTGCAGCAATCTTTCTGCATGATACTATTCTGAAAGAGGGAAGCAGATGTTGGTGGAGATTACTGCACTGTGGAATCTGTTTGGCACCAGGTCCATGGTTTTTTCTGGATGTTTTTCCTCTTGCAGAAGGATGGAGATGTTTATTGCTCAATGGGCAGAAGCAGGAACTCTTTAATAAAACTAAATTAACAGTGGGTTTTTGTGTTGAACCTCTCAGGTGAGGCAACCCTGGTGGAGTTCCCCTCAGCCAGGCCAGGTTTGGGAGGAGGACAGGCTTAGGGATGCTTTCAATTAACACAGGAAATTAATTAAGTGTTGGGGCTGCTGGGCCAGCAATCTGTGTGACCATTTATGAGTTTAGAGACACCAGGACTGAATCATCAAGTATTTGCATGGCATTAGGAATAATTAAAATAGATAAAGCAAGGTGCAGAGCTGCTGTTAATGAGCTCTTTGTGACCTCTTCATTACCTCTTTGTCACACCTGTGGGTATTTAATGGGACCAAAAGCTGCAGAAGGAAGGTATGATATGGATCCTTATTACTTGTCTGGGGAAGGGGCTGGAGCCCCAGGAGGGGCTGAGGGAGCTGGGAAAGGAGCTCAGCCTGGAGCAAAGGAGGCTCAGGGGAACCTTCTGGCTCTGCACAACTCCCTGACAGGAGGGGACAGCCAGGGGGGGTCGGGCTGTGCTGCCAGGGAACAGGGACAGGACAAGGGGAAACGGCCTCAAGCTGTGCCAGGGGAGGCTCAGCTTGGACACCAGGAGGAATTTCTCCATGGCAAGGGAGCTCAGGCCTTGGCAGGGGCTGCCCAGGGAGCTTTGGAGTCCCCATGCCTGGAGGTGTCCAGGGAAGGGCTGGACGTGGCACTCAGTGCTCTGGGCTGGGGACAAGGTGGGGATGAGGCACAGCTTGGACTCCATGGGCTGGGAGGGATTTTCCAGCCTCAGTGACTCTGGGATTATCCAGTTTCAGTATTCTATGATGTCTAGGGGATTTATTTTTAGTTTATTATCCCTACACTCTTTTTCCGTGATCTCTCTGAGCTGTAAATGCATGAATACGAGATGTTACAAAATATTCTCTTCCCTTTTCCTTCCCTCTTTTAGGTAATACAGCCAAGGTCTTTATTGAAGTGAAGGATGAAAATGACCATGCACCTGTTTTTACCAAAAAGATGTACATTGGAGGGGTGTCTGAAGATGCCAGAATGTTTTCTTCTGTGCTTAAAGTGAAGGTAAGGCTGAAGATTTTGTAATAGCTTTCACTTACAGAGGGAAAATCTGTATTCACTGGTTTGATTTTTACCAGAAATATTGAAATTTGCATCTTCTGAAGCTGCTTGATGTTGACACAAGGATGATTTTGAGTTACAACCCAAGTTTTGTTTGTACTCAATTTTAGGTGTTTGTGTCTCATGCCAGTTTGTAGCTCTCATTTAAGATCTGTTCATATTTAAACATCTGATTTATGTTTAATGCCAATTTTCACTTAAAGTTTTATCTATTTTGGTGGTGCCTTGTTTAAGTTTTAAAGGGGAAATCCAGCAATTTCAGGCCTGCACTGGGAGGAAAGTGGGTGTAAAATTGACCGTAGAGTTTTGTTGGTTTTTTTTTTTTAAAGAGAGGAAATTAATGGAAATATAAAATACAGACTACAATTAGCATCAGATTTTAATAGCAAGAGTTAAAGCTCTTTGTTTCCAATAAAACAAATAAATTATATATTTAGAGCACCAGGAATGATAAAACAATCAGAGCTTAATAAAGTTGTCCTTATCTATTTTTTTGGCTTTTTTTGTTGGTTTCATGAGAGTCCTTCCCAAAATAAGCCCAGAAATGGCAGAGAAGTGGGGAATTGAGAAGCTCCTACTTCATCAGAATTAGGAATCCAAACATGGTGGTGAATCCAAGAATCATGTCAATTCTATGAACTTCAGAACTAGTGAAGAACCACAGAAGTTTTGAAAAAGGCTTTTAAGACCATCAAGTCCAACCATCCACCAGCACCACCTTTGTCACCACCACTGATGTCCCCAAGTTCCACTGCCACACATTTTGGGACACTACTAGAGATGGTGACTCCACCAATGACCTGGTCCATGCTTAACCACCCTTTCAGTGAAGAAATTCTTTCAATTATTCAATCCAAATCTCCCATGGAACAACTAGACACCGTTTCCTCTTCTCCTGTCCCTTGCTTGATCCCCACCTGGCTCCATCCTCCTTCCAGGGAATTGTAGAGAGCAGATAACAGGACAAAGGCACTGGAGTGGATAAAGAATTCTGGAAGGCAATTTAGGGAAAGGAGCAACTTGTTGAAAGCAACATGAGGCACAAATGTCAAATCACGTTTGGAGTCATCCCATGAAATATGAACAGGCTGTGAAATCCTTCCTGGTTTTCCAAGAGGATTTCTTAGGCACAGGTATTTGTGTGTCTGTCAGGGGGATAAGAAATGGGTGGAGAAAAACTAAAGGAAATTTGGGGGTGATGTGAGGAATCTGCTTTTGCCCTTTAGAAACATTTGACTCAAAACAGATCATCAGTCCATGAAGGAGTACCAAAGAAATGTCAATTTTATGTCTTTAAGATTTTCTGTTCCAATTCTCGCTGGTTTTTCTGGCACAAAATGTAACAAGGCCTAAGCCAGGAGTTGGTATTAGTGGATGGCATTAAACATAATTGTGTGTTTAATGAAAGCAAAATTAAAAATAATTAAGAAGTGTTCTTGTTGCAGAGGATCAGGCTGAAATTTATTGTTGTAGCACTGAGCATTTACAGCAGTCGGTGCTCATTACCTTTTTTACTGGCCTTTAGAAAGCAAAAGTAATTGCTCTGTTAGTTAAACACAATCCCCATTCCAGCCTGGTTTAAGAATAATTAATCGAATGAATGTCTGTTCTTGAGGAGTAGAATGAAATGAGCAGCTTTCCAAGTTGAAACTTAGGAGAACATTAATAAAGTACACTCAGAGCTTGCACTGTAGAAATTATTCAGGTTTGGATTCCAGGGGGAAATTCTTAGGAGCAGTTTTCAATGTGTATGCTTTCACCTTCTGCATTCATTAACAGTTGCTCACTTTCTTTCACATCATCTGAGTGATTTTGAGACGTGATTTTCTCAGTATCTTCTCATTATTGTTGGCACTGACAACAGCTTTGATGAGCCTCAAACACTGGATATTGGAATCAGAGAATCACGGCATGGTTTGGATGGGAGGTGACATTAGAATTCACCCAGTGCCACCCCTGTCATGGACAGGGACACCTCTGTCCACCATGTCCACTATCCCAGGCTGCTCCAAGCCCCTCCAGCCTGGCCATGGATGCCTCCAGGGATCCAGGGGCTGCCACAGCTGCTCTGGGCACCCTGTGCCAGGGCCTGCCCACCCTCCCAGGGAACAATTCCTTCCCAATATCCCATCTATCCCTGCCCACTGGCACTGGGAAGCCATTCCCTGTGTCCTGGCACTCCATTTCTTCCCCAAAGTCTCTCTCCAGCTCTCCTGGAGCCCCTTTAGGTGCTGGAAGATGCTCCAAAGTCTTCCCAGGGCTTCTCTTGGGACTGGCTGGCCAATCCCAACTCTCCCTGCAGATCGAAGGACGCAATGCAAAACTAGAACTTTCAAAAGCAACCCAAAAATCTCACAATTAGTTCTTCTTTAACAGGATATAATAACTTATGGGATAATTAAGGACTGTAGTCTTTAATTATAATAGAGTAGTTGATGTAAATCTGTTTTTGGATCAATTGATCACAAATACACCACTGAACATTCAGATGCTTGCCTTCAGTTGCTTCCATCATGCCTTGAACAAAATTTTACTAATCTAAAATTTACAATTTTACAAATAATAAAAATAATCAAACTCAAAAATTAAATTAAAATAAAAAATAGGGAGAGAAGGAAACTAATCCCAGGTCCATAACCTTCCACACAAATTGAATTTAGAAACAAATAGACCAAAAAAATGTTGGATAATAATTTCTCTCATCATCCAAAGAGTTGATATGTACCAAGACAATCCCATGGAGTTTCTCCCAACTCTAAGGTCATTGGGTTTGCTGCCAGCAGCATCCTCTTAAATACATTAATTTGAGTATAAAAGCCTTTTAGAGGAGAATAATGAGCTGCCTTGCTCTAGATTCATAGTAAGATTCCTCTAACTAGATAAAAAGCAACATTATGCTCAGCAGAATGCCACAAATCATTCTCTAAAAGTCATTTTTAATCAGAATTAATTTGGGAAGTGATAAACCACATTAATTATTCTCTATGAATCTGATTGGATTAAGAGCAGTGGCCTCTGAAAGCTGGGAGGTACTGATACTCCAAGAAAAAAAGTGATATATATTAATAAAATGCCAATTTTTAGCCAATGATTTGCTCCTTGCTTGCTTGGAGGCCCCTTCTCTGCAATTCCCTTTTTTCCCCAGAATTTCCAATGTATTTGAGAGCCCATTTTCTTAATTGAAGACCTTTTTGTACTTCTCATTAGGAATGTACTAATTAAAACTAGATGTAACATGCATAGCCTCTAATTTGTGAATTCCGTGCCCTGAGGTTTGCTTTGTGTTTCCTTGTGTTAGAATTATTTTGCTTTTCACTGGTGTTTTCATGGAACTGCTCTTGCTCCCTCTCAGAATTCCAACCAGGCTTCCTTCAGCCCCAAACACAGTATTTTCAATCTGCTCTGGGAAACAAACCCACAAACGCAGAATCTTTAGGGAAATTACCAGCAGGAATTGGCTTTTCCCTATAATGGGATGTTAAAAGCTCTTGCTTTTTAAATATTAGCAGTATTAACCTCTGTTTTTCTTCCTTTATTTATTAAATTATTGAATTATTACACATTTAAATGAGGAAATATCAGAGGTCATAATTTTAGTGAAGAAAGAGAATTACCTGAATTTCTGCTCAGTTTATAAAGGTGTTTTTGTCCTGAAAATGTTTGCAGGAAAGGAATCTTGCCTAAATAATACCAGTGAATCCAAGGCTCTGGAATCAGCTGTATTTGATGGAAATGCTTTGATTCTTACAATTTTTTTAATTCCAGCCCTTTGCCCCTTTCCGATCAGCTTTTTAATGGAACTTTATCCTTTATTCCTTTTGAATATCTTTTATTGAACACTGAATATCTCAACAAAAGAGAGCAAAATGAGCCAAAGCCATTTTAGGCTACAGGTCCTGACCCTGAGGACACACAGGGCAGCAGGAATTGCTCTTTTCTTCACCTCAGAAGCATCTTAGAGATCCCATAATGAAGTAAAAATGGATAAAAGAAACAGTTACAACTCCTGGCTATGGATGAGGAGAGAATACCAGAATTGTTTTTTTTCCCCAGATCTGTTATCCATGTTAAATAACCTTTTTTTTTTCTATCTATGCCTATAAGCTGTAGATTTCTTTTGATATTTCCTTTTCCTTGGGATGACAAGGGAATCCTTAGAGTGGCAAGTTCTGGAATTCCAGAGATTCCACCTTGGGCACCCAGGACAGCTTTCAGGGCAACATTTGGCTCATCCCTCCTTTGGCTGTTGCACGACTCGTGCGCGAAACTGAACTGCTTTGCCAGTCACAACCTTTTCTTCCTTAAAAATGTGATTTATGGACCCCAGTGTGGGGAGAAAAGATGCTTGGTAGGAGTAAAAATCTCCTCTGAAAGCTCATTGCAGTGACAACAGCAAAGTCTCCAGCTGCTGGAACATCTGGCCCCCCAAAAAAGCTGTGTGTCCTGCTAAGACAAATATTACAGGTATGCCAAGAATTTTTCCTTCAAAAATCACATTCCTGCTTTTTATGTTGGCTTCTTGAACTTTTTACTGTAAGATCTCTTACTTTCCTATTATTTTCCTCTGGCAGCAATCAGAAAATTCCTTACCCTTTGGGATTTTTTTCCCATGTAATTGAAGATTATTTTGATTACTTTGTTGTTTGGGGGCATTTTGAAGACTGTTAGTCCTGCGTGTGCCTTCCTGAGTGAAGGCTCCTACAGGGCCTGGATCATTCCTATGCCACAGAGGAAATCCATATGTGTGCCCTTATTTCATCTCACACACACACAAAGTTATTCTATCAAGTAACTGATAACAGCCAAAGAAAAAATGACAATAAAATCAATTTTTCCAAAATTTGTTTGAAAACCTGGCTCTGGGAACCCCTCTTATTCAGCCTTTTCCCAAGAGACAGCCTGTCAAAAGAAATCCCATTTTCCTTCAGCACCTGGGAGTTTTG